CACATAACCCAGAGTTCTTCCTTTCCCCTAGATTTATGCCAAAATCTTCATCGTCCTTGCTTGCCTTGAGTGCTCTGCACAAGAATTCCCTCCCCTTACTGGAATAGGGCCCGGCGCCCATGTCTTTAGGAGGGACATTCAAAAACCGCTGGTAGGTGACACTAGGACTAAGCCCAGGATTGGGAATAAACACCAGGGAGAACAATGGTTGCTCACATCCTCTCCCAGAATCCTTTCTCCTCTAAGGCTTAGTCCCGAGTTCTATGAGTGGCCCACTCATTTCAATGTATCCCCTAAGGACATGAGCGCCCAGGCCCCCAATTTGTAGTGAATTAGGTGATAAGGTGAAGGAACATGGAACCAATCTACACCTTTGTTAACCAGGAAGGGATGATTGGTCGAAGTGGCCATATGCAAAGAGACCTACAATGTGGATGTGTTTTTGGACGCTGATCTCGAATCTGCTTTCCAAATCTGCCAAACGATTTTCCTGAATGGAGTTATGAAGGCAAAATAGTGCAGCGGTAGTAGTCCGGGTTCACGTGCGAGACGTCGTAGGATCGATTCCCTGGACGGGTTCTCCCTTTTGCCTTCGCTGCAATGGTTGAAAAGGCTCCCAACTACCTTACTTGATCAACGCTTGCCTACTTATAGTTACCCGTGCAAAGACTTTGCGAGGAGTTTCTAATCAGTTTGGGCGGCTACTTGCTAAAGACTGCACATGGGCCCACAGAACTCTTGGCAGACGTTTTTGCAGCAAGACAAGTGTGATATTCGTATTCTGAAGATGAAAATACACTCAGGAGCAGATCCAGATCACCCGATATAGAATCAATGCAAGGTGGAAAAACTGAAAATTAGCAAGGTCCAAACTTGTTAGAAACTCCTCGCAAACTCTTTGCACGGGTGACTACAGGCAAGCATTGATCGAGTAAGGTAGTTGGGAGCCTTTTTCAACCATTTGCAGCGAAGGCAAAAAAGAGAACCCGCCAGGGAATCGATCCTACGACGTCTCGCACGTGAACCCGGACTACTACCGCTGCACTACTTTCCTTCATAACTCCATTCAGAAAATCGTTTGGCAGATTTGGAAAGCAGATTCGAGATCAGCGTCCAAAAACACATCCAGTGGTGTAGGTCTCATTGCATATGGCCACTTTGACCCATCATCCTTTCCAGGGGCGGTATCCAATCCTTCCCCTAGGGGTTGGGGGACGAAAATCCCTTTAAATTTTCTGTCTTCCCAACTGGGATTGTCCTGATAAAGGGCCTAGGTTTAATGTATGTATGTATGTATGTCACAGTAAGCATGCATTGAAAATGAAGAAACTACATCGTTAAAAACAAATAAATTTAAAGGGATTTCCGTCCCCCAACCCCTGGGGGAAGGATTGAATACCGCCCCAGGTAATGGCTCCATCCCTTTTTCATGGCAAAC